TACTGCTACAGCAAGTGAAGGCTTGGGGATGTATGACCGTATGAGTGGTTTTTAGGACCAATTCCTGGAAATGTAGAAGGAGATGAAAGCCCTATGAGGGAAGGAACTTTTTGGTAAAAATGTTAGTGATCCCTGCCTAGTCCCTGATGTCAAGGTGCCTGTCAAATTTAAAGTTTCGGAATTTGACAGGGGCAATTTTTGTCCCCAAGCTCATTTGGTAATGTATGTCAGGAAGATGTCATCCCACACCGATGATCGATGCCTGCCGATTCATTACTTTTAAGATAGTTTGACTGAAGCTACATTGAAATGGGACATGGGTTTGGATAATACCAATATTCACACTTTTAATGACCTTGGTGAAGCCTTTGTTAGGCAATATAAGTACAATGTAGACATGGTACCTGACCGGGATAAGCTCAGGACTATGACTCAGAAGGATAAGAATGGTGTGAAGTACCTGCCTAAGTTATTCCTCCCATGAAAGAGAAAGAGATGACAAAAGTCTTCTTGAAAACTCTCAATTCCTTCTATTATGAAAAGATGGTTGCAAGTGCTTCCATTGATTTCGTCGAAGTTGTAAGCATGGGAGTCCGTTTAGAGGAAGCTGTATGTGAAGGTTGTTTATCCAAGGATGGGAACTCATCTAATTGTGCCCAGAGGTATGGTGATAGATCTGCCAAGAAGAAAGAGCAATACTCGAATGCTATCTCCCATGGTAAACAAAGGAGATCTCATAATAGGAATCATCAACAATAAGGTGCTTATGTTATTCCAGTGGTCAACCCAGTTCCTGCAATTCCTTCTCTTTAGCCATAACAGAAGTGTCATCAACAACAGAATCAACAAGGTAGTAATCAAAGGAAAATGAATTTTGGTCCAATTCCAATGACATACATAGAGTTGTATTCTTCTTTATTGCAGATGAATTTGGTTCAAACTTGAGCTCGACCAGCCGTTCCTGAAAAACTTCCAAGGGGATATAAGGCTGATGTTTTCCGTGCCTTTCATCAGGGTACCCCTGGGAACGATTTGGAATATTGCTCCGCTTTAAAGGTCGAAGTTCAAAGGTTTGTTAAAAGTGATATCTTGTCATTTAAGGACATTGGTCCTAATGTTCAAAACAATTCGTTGGCAAAGCATGAGTGAATCTCTGATGATGATGGTCCTAAAGTTTGAAAGATGTTTCCTTCAGCACAAGTCCATATAGATATTATTCTCAGTTTATTAGCATTTTATTGCTTTTTCATTTGTAATTTTTCCTGTTTATCAATGCACTGTTTGCATGTAAGAACTTGTTTTCATTTGAATGATTATCTTAATACAATAAATATGTCTATCATGAAGAAATCCATTCATTTCACTCATATTTGTTTTCAATTTTAAGTTTCTTTTTTGCATTATGATACCAACTTGTTGCCAATTCTCTTGTTTAGGCAGAAATTGGAGGGAGGATGATGAAAGTGAAAAAAAAATTAGTTGTATGCTTTTGAATAAAACCTTGTTAAGGATGTACATGCATTGTTTAGAATTACTAAACACTGGAGATATATGGAAGATAATAATTCTTTTACCCCTTTAATCCTTGAAGTAGGATTTTTTTTCTATACGAAAAAACCTTTACATTTAACCCGGGGCAGGGTAGTCTTTTGTTAATTTGACCGAATGTTAAAATTTCAAAAAAGATTGTGCATCTAAGGGTCAATCACATCTTATCCACATTAAAGGATGGAAAACGTGAAACCACAAGGGTTATACCTTGCACATCAGAAGGTTGGAAAGCGTGAAACCACAATGGTTATCCCTCATCTGCCAAGGAACGAGGTAGTCACAACCCTTTCAACAAGTCAAGACAAAGCCAATGTCACACAATTTTTTCAAGAAATCAAGAATTAAAAAAAAATAAAAAAGAAAAAGCTCGCTAAGTCAAAAACCTGAAACAAATGGCTTAGGAAAAAGTTAGAGTATTCTGTTGGACTACCAATTCAAAAGAATTAGTCCAGGCAAAAGTTAGGGAAAATAAAAAGCAAAAGAATGAAAAACGCGACAAGCAAAAAAAGAGGACTACCAAAGTAAAAGTCCTAAGAAAAAAATAAATCTGTGTGACTTCAAACAAGAAGACAAAAAGGGCGACTGCTACTCCAAAAAACATCATCATATATACTCATATAATTAAAACATCATCATAACATCATTATATCATCATAGTAACAACATATCATAATAATCAAATGAATCATCATTGCTATTAAATGCGAGGAACCTATTCCTATTCTAACTTAGGTCTTGTAAAAATATTCCTAAGTATCCATTTTATCTCACCAAAATTAAGGTTTACTACGTTAGCTACACACTGCTTCGAACAATGCATCAATTGGACTCCTGAAATTCAAGTTATGGAATTTTAAAGAAAATTATACGGCCATTAAATTCTGCCACCCGCCGGCCGGCGCCACCCTAGCTTCACCCGGCGATGCGTCACTTTTGTGTCTCCTTTGCATCATCTGGCGCTGCACCGCAGACAACACTTTTCCTCCTATAATTTTCCACCATTGGAGGCCTTTCAGCACTCCGAATTCGATTCCGTAAAAGTCCCGATTTCAGAATTCAAAATCCTATTATTATACAACATATTTAACATCCTATAACACTTATTTAAAGGTCCTAACATCATACATTCATCAAGGATTCATTCATTCATTCATTCATTCAACACATGGTTTTTCCCTAATTTCATCAATATTCATCCCAAAATCATCACACAAAAACAATCTTACAATTATCTAGTCCTTAGATCAAACATAATAATCAGATAAAACCCCTTACCTTATTGTTTGGAGTGATTGATTCTATTCTTCGTGCCTCTTACGGTGATCTTCTCCAACTACTATTCCCTAGCCTCTTCTCTTGCTCTTCTCCCAATATCTCGATCGTACAGAATGAATCATATAACTCTCTCTTTTTCTCCGTTATCACAAAGGACCCCTACTATCTTCCTTAATTACCCATATTTAGCCAACCCCAAATTACCATTATATCCTCACTATTTCTTCTAATTACCAACATACCACTCTAATTAAAATAATCATTTAAATAATTATTCCTAATATTATATTTCCAATAATGATCCAAGTAATTACTAAATAATTATTTAATTATTCTAATACTCCTATTCACCATAATTCATATCATGCTGCTCCATGTCGTAAACAATAACATACCAACACGCATCATACACAATCATATAAAACATCATTATTCGTCCTTAATTCACAAATACATTTAATAATTCATTAAATAAGAAATTTTAAAAGTTGGGGTGTTACATAAACCCTAAGAACTCCAGACAAAATAATAGCAGAGTCACAAGGTACCAAAGGTATCAAGGTTTGTAATCCTAAATCCAAGAGGTCCACAACTCCATAATGCCAAAGATAGTTATCAAATAGACTAAGTAACCTTAAGGCTTTTAATGTTCAAATTGATTATTAAGTGTCTTCAAAAAGAAAATGATAGCTCAAGTGAGCAAAGATGAAAATAACATAAAATGTAATTGTTAAAGTAAATGGTGCATAAAAGTAAAGACATAAAATAAAGGGGCATAAAGTAAAAACATAAAGTAAAATCAATTGTTAGTGAATTAGAAGTTAGAGGTTAGTTGAATGGACATCTTGAAACTTGCATTTGAAAACTCATTAGAAAATTAATAAAATTAAAGTTTCTTAATAACAAGTTTCATTTTCTTTTTGTCAAGTATATCATTCATTTCAAGTACTCAAGGCAAGCACATATGATCAATGATGTTTAACTGATTCACTTAGACCAAATTTTATGAAATTTCATTAGAGGATTGATAAGATCAAAGCCTCCTAACAATGAACATCATGGTTATTGGATCAAATGTTTCAAATTAAATATATTTAGGCTTACAAACATAGGTTTGGGCCACGAATGATCATCTTTCGAATCAGGACAAATTTAACGCTATGTTAAGCAATTGTAAGTGGACTTATATAGAAGTCACACCTATTTTGAAACCGGTCAGTAGCAATGTATGTACTACACAAGTTAGAGATGTGATGGAAACCACACTCATGAAACTTATAGCACAAGAGAAAAGTCAAAAAAAGAAATAAGATGAAGAAGAAATAACTAAGAATTAAATTTCACATTTGAACCAAAAAATTAAATCAAGTTATTATTAAAATCATTCATCCATTTTGATAGATTTGAACTCAACATCCAAGATTCAATGATATTAATGAATCTGACAACCAAAAATTCAATGACACAAGGCCAGCAATAAAATATATACAAGATATAATTACAATTAACAAAGCAAATAAAAAATATGGTTAATTAATTGATGAAATACACAAATTGTATCCAAAAAACCAAATAAAAACTCAAAAAAATTACCATAAGTCAAATACAAGTAAAGAAGTATTGACAATTTTTTAAAGAATTTTTTAATGCGTACAATTTTTTTTTTAATTAATAAAAATCACTCAAATAAGTGAAAAAATAATTTAAAAAAGCATAAAATAAAATTAAATTCCGAAAAAATTAAACAAAGTCATAAATAAGATAAATGAATTGTTTGAATTTTTCGAGAATTTTATGACAAAAATTGAATTTAAAACGAATTTTAGAAGTTAAAATGAATGGATAGAAAAGAAATTAAAACAAAATAAATCTACCCTTCTGATATGGTCAACTTTAATGTAGTAATGACATCAGAGGATTCAGATTGAATGTACACAGTATGTATAATGTATATAGATGCAGAGAATCAAAAATCTATCATCTTCTCAGATATGATGACAAGTGGCTCTAATGACCACTTGTCATCCATTCAAATGCCGACACGGATCACGAGGTAGAAGAAGGGGAAAATTTTTGAACCAAACAATTCCCTTGGAAAGGAAAACACGGAGAGAGAAAGAGAGAGAGGGATTCCAACAGGTTCATCATTTTTTTTATTCTTTGAGGATTTGGTCTCAAAAGATGAATAGAAACCTTTCTGAGTTGGTAACAAGTGAATAACGACGATGGTGAAGTCTTTCAGACGGTGGTTGATTATTTCCAGCGATGGTCAAGGGTGGAAATGCGAATTTCGGCAGTGGTCGAAGGTGTAAGGGCGGACGACTGTGGTTTTTTGGTTCTCCAGCAAGGCCGCGGTGGTTGACGTTCTCCGGCATGTGATGATTTGTTGAGCTACACACAAGAATTGTCATGGAAAATGGTGGATTCTTGAATACATTAAGATGAACTCGAGGCTAAGTGAGGAATTTTAGAGATCTCGGGAAGACATGCACTCAAGAGGGTCATGGATGCAACTTAGTTCTTCAACTTCTTAGGAGAAAATACCACGAATTTGTACTTATAACATTGTTCTTAATGATTGATCTCAACTGCCTAGGCTGTTAGGCAGTTATGCTGGCTGTTAGACAGTTATGCAGTTAGTTGTTATACAGTTAGGTAGTTAGTGGTTATTAGAAGTTAGTTACATGAATAGCTTGTAACAGAATGCTAGTATATATAGCTGTGTAATGCATAAGCTTGTATATGTGTAATAAAGAGCTTCTTTTCTTTCTCTTCTTTTATCTCTCTCTTTTCTCTCTTTTCTCTATTGATTTGAGCATGAGTTCTCAATCATAATATGGTATCATTCGCTTCAAGATCCACACCTGTGATCCTTCTTCTTTTCCCATAAACCAGTCCTTCTTCTTCTTAATCCAGCTCTTCTTTTTCATCTATGGCGCGCGGTTCCAATTCCACCACCTCAACTCAACGTGTCACCAATGGTGACATAGATTCAGTCTACTATGTACATCCTAGTGAAGGCCCTAATTCTGTGATCATCACACCTCAATTGACTGGTGTCAATTATATTTCTTGGTCTAGATCAATGAAACGAGCGCTTGGTGCTAAGAACAAGCTTGCTTTCATTGATGGCACTATTCCTATTCCTGACATTGATGATCTCAACCGCTGTGCATGGGAACGATGCAATTGCTTAGTCCATTCATGGATTCTCAACTCTGTTACATCACCCATTGCTCAAACTATCGTTTTCTTGGAGAATGCTCTTGAAGTCTGGAATGATCTCCAGGAACGGTTTTCGAAGATTGATCGAATTCGTGTCTCAACTCTGCGCATGGAGATTAACAATCTCAAGCAAGGGTCGAAATCAGTTCTTGATTACTTCACTGAACTGCGTGGCTTATGGGAGGAATTAAACTCTTATCGTCCTCTACCATCGTGCACTTGTGCTCAACAATGTCGCTGCCAAGCCTTGAGAGCTGCTCGAGAATTTCGCATTGAAGATCAGGTAATACAATTTCTAACTGGTTTGAATGACAAATTTTCTGTCATCAAAACTCAAGTTCTTTTGATGGATCCTTTACCATCCATCAACAAAATCTATTCTATGGTGATTCAAGAAGAGAGCCATAACGTCTCTTTACTTTCGAAACCTGAATCCTTTGCTCCTATGGAAGAAGTTAATTCTTTGGTAAATGCTTATGACTCACGAAGACAAGGTGATCGTGGCAAGCAAGCCAATTACTCTGGTCATGGTAACAATAGTTTCCAAAACTCGCGCAGAGACAATAGGTTGTGTACTTATTGCAATAGAGCAGGTCACACAGTTGAAGTTTGCTATAGGAAGCATGGTTTTCCTCCAAACTATGGTAAAAAGCAAACTGTTGCTAATGCCACAAATTCCTCTACTGGTGACAACCAACAAACTGCTTCCACTGGTGAAGAAGATTCCTCTAGGAGTCAATGTGCTAGCATATCTCAAGAGCAATACTCTCAGTTGATTAACTTGTTGCAGCAAACAAATTTACTGTCTCAGTTGCCAAATTCTGCTATCAATGTTAATTCAACCACCAATCACATTTCTACACATGAGTCTACAGGTAATTCTCAAGTGCTCATAGCATCTTGTTCCACTAGTAGAAAACCTGATTTTTGGATCATTGACTCAGGTGCCAATGATCATGTATGCTCCTCTCTTCATTGGTTTAGTTCTTTACATAAAATTAAACCTGTTAATGTGTGTCTACCTAATGGTGCTATTGTCATTGCTAAACAAGCTGGCACTGTTAACTTTTCACCACAGTTTTTTTTGCAAAATGTTTTGTACACTCCTGACTTCTCTCTTAATCTCATGTCAGTTTCAAAAATGTGTCAATATCTTAACTGCAAACTTTCTTTTCATGCTGATAAATGTTATATACAGGATGTGAAATCACAGAGGATGATTGGTTTGGCTAGTCAAGTAGAAGGATTGTACAAACTAGTGCTCGATGATGGTTGGTCTGCTGATAAAAGAAAACACACTTCCAACTCAGATTGTTCCAATGACCTCACTATGCCTAAAACTTCTGCCAACACATGTAAAGTGATTCCACCACAAGCCTTGTGGCATTTTAGATTAGGTCACTTATCTCATGACAGAATTTCTAAAATGCATCAATTGTATCCACAACTTGTTAATGATAATAAGGCTGTCTGTGATATTTGCCATTTTGCTAGACATAAGAAAATTTCATTTCCTATCAGCACTTCTAGAGCACATGCTAAATTTGAACTCATTCATTTTGACATTTGGGGTCCTATTTCCATTACTTCTATTAAAGGTCACAAGTATTTTCTTACTGTTCTTGATGATTTTAGTAGATTTGTTTGGGTAATCTTGTTAAAATCCAAGGCAGAGGTGTCTGACCATGTTAAAAATTTTATTACTCTTATTGAGAATCAGTTTCATACCTGTCCCAAGTACATCAGGTCTGATAATGGACCTGAATTCTCTCTCCCTCAATTTTATGCATCCAAGGGCATTATTCACCATAAGTCATGTGTAGAGACACCTCAACAAAATGGTAGGGTAGAAAGAAAACATCAGCATCTCTTGAATGTAGGTAGAGCCCTACTATATCAATCAAACTTACCAAAATCCTTCTGGTCATATGCAGTCCCTTATGCTGCTTTTATCATTAACAGAGTCACATCCAATTTACTTCAACAAAAATCACCATATCAGCTATTGCATGACAATGTACCTGACATTAGTCATATTAAAGTGTTTGGTTCTCTTTGCTATGCCTCTACTCTTACTTCTCATAGAACCAAATTAGAAACCAGAGCTAGAAAGGCAGTCTTTTTAGGCTACCCTGTTGGATATAAAGGCTGTTTACTTCTAGATCTCAATAATAGTGACATTTTCATATCTAGGAACATTACACATCATGAGCATATTCTGCCTTACAATACTTCTTCTGAATCTCTTAGTAATTCATGGGAGTATTTCAGTACACAGTCCTTACAATCATCATCACCAGTTACTAGCTCTACTCATCCTAGTGTATTTGATATTGCTGACATTTCTGATAATGTGCTTAATACATCAGCTGACCCTGCACACAATGACACGAGTATTGACAATAATGATCTTGTGCAACCTGAATTGTCTAATCCTGCACATGTTGATACTCTAGTTCCAGCACAAACCAATCCTCACGATATACCTACACAAAACACATCAGTACCTACTTCTCTCTCCACTCAACCCACCAATCAAATTCTCCCCACAAGGGTTTCTTCCAGAACAAGGCACCAACCATCTCACCTCAAAAACTATGTTTGTGCTTCCTTCAACAACAATGACTACCCAATCACTTCATCCTCAGGTATGGCTTATCCCATTTCTAATTCTGTTTCTTATTCTCATTTGTCTCCTTCCCATTCTCGATTCACATTATCTATCACCACTCAAACTGAACCTAAAACATATGCTGAGGCTTGTAAATCTGCAAGTTGGATTCAAGCTATGAAATCTGAGATTACTGCTCTTGAAGATACTGGCACATGGCAAATAGTGGATCTTCCACCAAATGTTAAGCCTATAGGTTGCAGATGGGTCTACAAAATAAAGTATAAGTCTGATGGTAGCATAGAGAGATTCAAAGCTCGACTTGTAGCTAAAGGCTACAACCAGATTGAAGGCTTGGACTATTCTGATACATTCTCACCAGTTGCTAAACTCACAACAATTCGCCTTGTTTTGGCTTTAGCTTCTATTCATAACTGGCACTTACATCAGTTAGATGTGAACAATGCCTTTTTACATGGCACACTTCATGAAGATGTATATATGGTAATACCACCTGGTGTGCACACCACCAAATCCAACCAAGTCTGCAAATTGGTCAAGTCTCTCTATGGCCTGAAACAAGCAAGTAGGCAATGGTATGAGAGACTAACCTCATTGCTTATTCAACATGGCTACAAACAGGCAACATCAGATCACTCACTATTTGTTAAAAGTACTTCTTCTTCATTTACAATTTTACTTGTATATGTTGATGATGTGCTTCTAGCAGGTGATTCCTTGGCAGAATTCCAACATATGAAGACTGTGCTTAATGTGGCTTTCAAAATCAAGGATTTAGGAAGACTCAAATACTTCCTTGGTTTGGAAATTGCTCACTCTTCCAAGGGCATCTCTATCTGTCAGAGAAAATACTGTCTTGATCTTCTTTCTGATACAGGTTTTCTTGGTTCCAAACCAAGTAACACTCCATCAGATCCTGCCATCAAATTGCATAATGATGTTGGACCAGTCTTTGATGACGTCCCAGCTTATCGGAGGTTAATTGGGAGACTCATCTATCTCAACACAACCAGACCTGACATCACATTCATCACCCAGCAACTGAGCCAGTTTTTGTCCAAGCCCTCCATGATTCATTACAATGCTGCTTGCAGAGTCTTGCGCTACCTCAAGAAGTCACCAGGACAAGGACTTTTCTTCCCAAGGGATTCACACATTCATCTCATCGGTTTTTCTGATGCAGATTGGGCAGGTTGTATTGATACACGAAAGTCAGTGTCAGGATCCTGTTTTTATATTGGCAAGTCACTCATTTCATGGCGGACCAAGAAGCAAAACACAGTTTCACGATCTTCATCTGAAGCTGAATACCGTGCTCTTGCTTCAGCTACGTGTGAGCTTCAGTGGCTGCTGTATCTTCTTAAAGACCTCTCTATCACTTGTACCAAACTTCCAGTTTTATTCTGTGATAGCCAGAGTGCTCTTCATATTGCAGCTAATCCGGTTTTCCACGAGAGAACAAAACACCTCGAGATCGACTGTCACATTGTTCGTGAAAGGTTCTTGGCAGGCACTATGAAGCTTATTCCTGTCTCCTCAAGCAATCAACATGCT